TCTGAGCAGCTAATCGGATGCTACGGATCTAGCTTCAGTATCTACACACATTAGTGAGGACAGTGAGGTCCCTCTTGGCCAATTGGAGGCCAGGATGATGCTCGGTAAGCCAATGGCAGAGCAGCTATGAGTATGTTGAGTCCAGGAAACTCACAGCTGTGACCGAAATAAACATCGTTCACGATGTAACCCAGTGTGGTGGTTGCTGTTGCCTTTTTTCGAACGAAGCAGTTAGAGGTCGCTGTTGGATAAGACTTTGTTGTAGTGAATGTCTTCGCGAGGCTGGAGCAGAGAAAATGATTTTGTATAACGCAACAGGGGTTTTTTCGTCGTATGGGGCGCAGGAGAATGGGAATTGTGTTAATGCATGAAGATTTTTTCACATAAGGGGGTATTTTCGCCCATGTAGGTTTCGTTCTAGAGGAGTTTCACTGTATGCTGGTTAAACTAAATAGTGGGTCATTTTTTTCCCCCTACAAAGCTGTGACTGAGTGAACATGTCATTTTGGCTATGAGCAGTCTTTGAGTCTCTGGCGTCTGCATCATTATCGTATGTTTTTACCATGAAGCGGATTCAATGAATTGTCTTAAAATTGTCCACACTATAAGACACCTAAAGCATTCAATTTTCCCAAAAGCCAATAGTGCGCTCTATAATCCGATATGCCTTATACAGTGAACCCTCACTATAACGCGGTTCACCTTCCGCGGCTTCGCTGTTTCACGGATTTTTTTAGTGCAGTTTTTTTTTTAATGCTTTTTTTCTTTTAAACAGTGAATTGTGTTCTGCATCCTGATTGGCTAAGCGACTGACCAACGTGAACAGTCTCCGCACCTCGTCTCTGTACAGCTTGCCAAATTTACCTTTGCAAATTTTTGGTCTTTGGTTTCATTGTATCAGTGGTGGATGCTGGTCTGTCAAGGAGGTGAAACTCAATTTTGGCCTACATCATAAAATGTGTCCGTTTATTTATACGTGAATTCTACTCTCTGTTCCTTTTCAAGACAATTAAAAGGATGCCTTCAGCACAAGATCGGTGATTGGCTCATTTCGCTGTCAATCAAAAAGAGATTCAGCCTCAGACAGATCATCCAATCATCATGCAGAAAAGCTGAGCGTCCGGGCCAGCCGATATGCTGAGTGTCCGATGGGCGGGACAAAACCAGCATTTATCCAATGACTTGTCTCATTTCAATGCATTGGGACAACCTACACTGAACTCTCGAGACACCCAGCGTCCGCGTGGTCGACGCTCAGCGTCCACTCAGTTTAAAGCACAGTGAAGCTGTGGGAATGAATGAGAAGAGAGTCGCGTCGTAACCAGTAATAAGAAGCTGATTCGGAACAAACGTTGAGTGCGTTGTAGCGCATATTTAGTCAATGACATGTCCACACAATTGTACGTACACACATATATTTGATCATTTATTTTTTGACATTTTAGGGGAAGCTGTCTTAGAGCAATCACCTCTGCATATTATACAATACATAGTTCAGTATTGTATAATAACTGTAAAAAATAAAGCTGACTACTTCACGGATTTCACCTATCACGGGTTCTTTTTGGAACGTAAACCCCGTGATAAATGAGGGTTCACTGTATACAGTCTCTTTACATTACCCAATGAGTTATTTCCCTGTTAGTGTTCTGCTGCCATTTAGTGATGATCCTTAGCAGGAACCAATTGTAACCTAAAAGGGTTCTGCCCGACACTAATTGACATGTGCATTCGCCAACACACACTCCAACAGACAACTACTTTGTGAGCGCTGCGCAGCCATTATCAAACGAAGATAATATCAAAAGCAAAGTTAACTACTGACTAAACGAAGGAATGAGACAAGCAAGACTTCTAAGGCTATTTTCGCTTATCATATTTCAAACGCTTAGACTGTAAGAGCAAATCATAGTACTATATGATCTATTTCGTGTGTGTGTGTGTGTGTGTGTGTGTGTGTGTGTGTGTGTGTGTGTGTGTGTGTCCTCACTCTGTGCAAGCAGTTGGGATATGGTCTTCAGGTTGTTTTCTGACCCATCAGACTCTTGAGAAGTAAGCTGCTTATTGGCAGTCTCCATACGGTCTATTCGGCAAAAATACGCAGCATTAAAAATTTTACCTGTGATGCAGTCAAATGAAATAGAACAAAATAAACATAATTCCATCATAAGGCAGTATGATTCAAAGTACTGTGGGACAAAGAAAAAAATTCTGTCAAATTATGACGGAACCTCTAAAACTGATGGTTCAATGCATAAATCTGAACAATCCACCCTGTGGCAGCACTTGCATAGATTGTGCCATGTATGTCTACAAACTTAGTAAAGTCATACTTTCATTTGAAGAGGGTTGCTGTTGTCACAAAAACGTTATAGCGCTTGAAGAAAATACAAAAAAAAAAGTGTTGTGTCCAAATAACACAGTGAAATTTGTCCAGAATAACGAACAGCCATTAGCAGTAACAACTCCATTGCTTCATCTTAACATTTTGTTTAATCTAACAGTTGTCTTCTCTCAGTAAATATGAGGATATAAGTGTCGCATTTTACAATACTAAACACATAGTACCAATTTGGACAGACCAAGCTGACAGAAAAATTGAGGTTATCAGTTTCAGCGTTTTACAAAAGATGCAATATTCTGCTAATAGGATAAATGTTCATTGTCAGAACAGGACAAACTACTTGGACCATGGCTAATAATGGAACATTGTAAGATAATTGTTCTGTGTAGACAAAGTCAAACAGAATTCCTTTGGTGTTCCCGATAATTTATAGTTGATTTGTAACATTCTACAGATTTTCAGCAAGCCTGCTAGGACGGTGGCTCTTCTTCTACACTCAACATGTCATGGGAATGACCTATTAGAGATGTGTCATTGATATATCAGCCGTATGTCAAAAGTGGGGCTCATCTGCCAGCGCCGCTTGACACACAATGAGCAGGGGGAGGGAGAGGAAGGAGGGCGCATCCATCGGCAGGTCACAATTAAATGTAGGGAAAGACTGTGGGTATCTGTGACTTTGCATTTTTTTTAACTCTTTCATGCACCTGTAACATAACATGATAAGCTGTCCACTGTCGTAACCACTGTTCCTGAAATGGTTAAACTGTTTTTTTCATTTTGTTGAATAGCTATTTGGTTCTTTGAAATAAATACATTTATTTTGATGGTAAATTTCAACTGAGAGTGTCCTTAAACAAGCTTGAAGCCTATTTTTTGAAGAGTTGTACACTATTTGGCAAAGTTGCGTGAAGTGAATTTGGTTTACTGAGTTATCAAGGCACCATTATTACTTGCCACAAAAGCTATTGGACATTCCAGCTGTCTTACCTCTAAGATCCCTGTTAAAGTCATGCAGACGCCGGACCTCCAATTCTAGCTTGTTCCTCATTGTTTTCTCCAGGGCCTCTCTCTTGGCAGAGGTATTAGCAAGGGTTTCATAGGCCTCTGAAACCAGCTGAATTTCAGTTTCCAACTGCCAGAAGAAATAGGTGGATTGATAAGGTTGTGATGTGAAGGCAGGTTGACCCAAACGTACACTCGATGACCCAAAACAAATGCAAACTCAAAGGGGTGTGAGCTAAGGCAGTAAGACAACAACCAGGACAGATGAGGACAAGAAAAACACAAAGTGACATTAATACATGGCTTATCACAATCACTCAAGCGTGTCTGTGCCTTTCCATCATATCGTGCGAAAGTATAAGTATACCTTGGTTGTTTTTCGACATACAAGAGACAGGTACAAATAAGAGTGTCAGATCAAATGGTCTATCCTTCTAGAATTATGTAAGTTGGCTTTCAATTTTAATTTAAATGTCATTTTTTGAATCAATATGGCAAACAGTGTGCCACTGTATACGGTGAACCTCTTGACACTTGAGCTTTATTTTCTGCTTTTAGTGATTGGTGCTTTCATGACAGACTCTCTACGAATGTATGATCGCCAATCCTTGATGGACGTACAGCATTGGAGGTTCGGGTCCATTCGAGCATGGCTAGGAGAGGACGTTGCCCCCCCGTTGTTCCTGGCTGAGATCTCAGCAGAGCTCTTCTGTGTCCATGCAAATCCCTCGCGGCAGAAGCAGCACTGCGGCAAATATAGTGGACAACTAGCGAAGTTAAAAAGGGAGCTAAATCACTCTTCGCTCGCTGCTCGTGACCAAAGGCATGTTGGTGCATTCGGGACTCTGTTGCCTCCTGCTTGCTACCGATCACCGGCTCTCCTGGGGATCTTCGGCTGTGCTACTGTCTGCACGTCCTCCCAACAAGGCGTGGATCTCCAGCTGCTGAGTAACTTCCCAGACCTCGCTGATCAAGAGATTTGTATCTTCCATGCAAATGACACGAGAGACGAGGTGTTTCTTGTTTTGTTGGATGTAACCGCAGCGTACGAAACTGTGAACCACATTATACTGTTGGCTTGTTTGCAGGAGCCGGTGGGCATAGGTGGTAGTGCTCTAGAGTGGTTTCCTGTAGATCCTTTTTGGCTGACAGGACTTTTTGTGTAATTCTAGGTTTCTCTGCCGTCTCTGTCGTATGGTCTTCCACGGGGTTCTATTTTTGGCACTTGCAGATTTCGCTGGATTTTCTGTCCGATGGTCCCACCCTAAGAAAATATGGTATTTTCCTTTCACTGCTATGTGGATGATAGTCAGCACCGGCAAATCAGTGCTATTGTTAAACACAGCTGCTTTCATCTTCTGCCTTTGTTACATCTCAGATAGAAAACTGTAACACACTTTATTTTGGAGTCACCCAGTCCTCCCTCAAGCATCTCCAGTTGGTCCATAATGCTACTGCTCGCATCCTAGCTGGAGCTCTTAAGAGGGAGCACATAACCCCAACTCTGGCTTCCATTCACTGGCTCCCAGTTCATTTTAGAGTTCATTTGAAGATACTTCTACTTGTTTTCAAATCTTTTAATCTCGCCCCAGCTTACCCCTCTGAGCTCCTCCACCCCTTCACACGTGCCTGGTGCCTCAGGTCAGCAGACTAGTGGCTACTGGAGGAACTCAGAACTAAGCAGAGCCCCAGAGAGGATCAAGCCTTTTCTGTTGCTGAACCTTCCCTCTGTAATGACCATCCATTAAATGTTAGACTCTGTCTTTATTAAAAACTCCTTTGAAGACATCTTTTTTCTTTAGCTTTGGACGCCACAGAAAACTGACATTGTTTTATTGTTGTCTGATGCCTACTGTATATGTGTTAGTATCATTCATTTGTGTTTTAATTTACTGTTCTCACTTTATTTTGTTGTAATTATTTGCAAAGTGCCCTGTTGCAGCTGTGCTATTTTAACAAAGTTGTATTGTATAAAAGGTAGTGTTTCGTTATATGCCTTTTGGTTGATGATACAGACAGAGCAAGGAAACTACTTTGTAGAATGTATTAGTTTTCAGTTGATCATTTTAGAATCTTAATCATTTTTGTTGTCTATCCTCACATTTAAAACCACACAGAGCATATCAGTGGACTTCATTCTAGACAGGACATATTTATTACGATTAACTAATCGTAAGATTTACTATTTGCTTCAGCCCCTATAAAACTGAAGGGGGAATATTTATGACATTAACATATGCGTGTTCACATAATGGTTTGTTCAAGGTCGCAAACGTTCGCAAAACGTTCGGCAAACGTTCGCCAGATGTTCACCAACAGTTTTATTGTTTTTTACTTGTCTTGAAAGGAATCCAAGGAAATATTGAGCCTCTTCAAAATACTGTTGAGAGACGTAAAGTACAGGCCAATGTCTGGTGACTGGCGAATATTTGAGACTTTGAACAAACCCTGATGAACCCTGACGAGAACACAACATTCGCTACATTCTGAAGCACTTGCAAATGTTCGCCGCTCAGTGGGATTGGGGCTTTAAGCTCCAATATAGGTTGTGTCAGTGAACTTTCTGTCATTTGCCAGCAAGCAGACCCGAAAGTCGGTCATCATCAGTCCATTGTTATTTCAGGCCGGTCCAGTACATTAGTCCGTTAGTTCGTCATTCCATCATCATTATTTTTAATGCACTTCTTTTTTTACATTTCGTCACCTCTATTTTAGGACTGTCAACAAACATGGGTAACAGCACGCAATTTTATTCATTTAGAAACAGTTTGGAACATCGATCTTCGCCCAACCTGTAGGTTGGGGGTTCAATTCCCGGTCTTTGCGACCTTGTCAAAGTGTCCTCGAGCAAGATACTGAACCCCCAGTTGCTCCTGATGCTGCGTCATCAGTAGGTAAATGAGGAAAGTGTAAAGCGCTTTGAGGACCAAAGGTAGAAAAGTGCTATAATGTAAAAGTGACAGCCCATTTATCATTTAACATTTTACACAAAAAAATAATAAATTGATATACTACTGCCCATTGCTCCTCCTCCCCCTCCGCCCCAAACCGTTCCTTATCTTTGCTTTTTGAATTTGTGATAGTCCAGGGTTCGGTCGAAAATTGCTTCTGTCAGCACTTACAGTGCTGTGAAAAAGTATTTGCCGCCGTACTGATTTCTGTGTTCTTTGCATATTTGTCACATCAGTTTCAGTTCATCAAACCAATTTTAAGATCATCACAATAGAGAATTCCCAAGGAAATATAAAATGCAGTTTCTAAATGCCAATTTTTAGGGAAAAAAAAAAAAATCCAAAACTGCCTGTGCCGATGTACCCCCCCCACCTCCCCTTGTTAAATCACAAAGTAACTTGACAAACGACAGTTTTAGGAAAGCTGAGTTCAATTCACAAGCACCACCCTAGCACCACATTTGTGAAATCAAGAAATCAAACATATAGTCAAAGTGAAGTCAGTAACAAGATCTCAAGAAATCAACACATCATGCCACAATTCGTAGAAATTCAAGAAATTCGAAAATAAATTATTGAAATCTATTAGTCTAGAAAAGGTTACAAAGCCATTTCCAAGACTCTGGGGATTCAGCGAAACACTGTCAGAGCCATTACTGTATCCACAAATGAAAAAAAGTGGGAACAGTTAAAACATTCCCCGGGGTGGTCGACCAGTTAGAATTACTCAAAGAATGCAACGACGACTCATCCAGGATATTGCAAAAGGACCGAGAACAACATTCAGAGAACTCCAGACCTCACTGGCCACAGTTCAAGTCAGTGTTCATGACTCACGCATAAGAAAGACACTGGCCAAAAATGGCATCCGTGGGAGAGTTCCCAAGCGAAAACCACTGCTGTCCAAAAAGAACACTAAGGCTCGTCTCACTTTTGGACTAATTAGTCAAAAGTTCAACTTTTTGTAAAACGTGGCCCATTAAGTCTGGGTTAAAAACGGCACAGCATTTGATAAAAAGACCATCATGCCAACAGTGAAGCATGGTGGTGGCAGTGTAGTGGTCTGTGGCTGCTTTTCTACCTCAGGACCAGGACAACTTGCTGATTGATGGGACAATGAGAATTCATTGCTGCTGTCCACCAGAAAATCTTGAAGGTGAAAATGTGACATACAGTTTGCGCTCTCAAACTCAATTTTATTTTTATTTATTTAGTGACTTGCTGATTTATTTAGTTATTTATTCAATGCATTAGGACAGTATATCAACGCAAGACTAAACGGTGTAAATGCGCCGGATTTAGCATAAATGCTAGTTTTTAGCCGTAGTCCCAAGGCAGGTTTCTAAAATAGCACTGTGAGTGAAACTCAAGCGCTCTTGGATTATGCAGCAGGACAATGATCCAAAACACACCAGCAAGTCCACCTCTGAATGGCTAAAAAAAAAAAAAAAAAAAAAAAAAAAAGTTTTTGGAGGGGCAAAACAAACAAG